AGATCAGGTGGAGAAGGGCTTGGCTTCACTTAGCGTTTCCAATTGGCGTCAGTTGGCACAGAGCAGAAACGACTGGCGTGCTTTGCTGAACTCGGCCACAATCGCTTAGGCGGTTACAGCGCCAAAAAAGAAGAAGTCCAATTAATTTAATAAAGCGGTCGTACGTGCCGGAAGCAAAAATGAATCAATACCCACTGAAAGGCAGATACCGGGGTATTGGAGGACGTGATTTAAATATTATCGGTGACGTTATTTGCACCATTGAATTTAAAAATGTTATTAATGAAATTAAAGTCTATGGCGCATATTCATAGTCATATTTCGTACTCAACTAAGTCGAAACTATTCTAAGTCACAACTAAAGCTATTAATAGTCGCCATAGTTTCGACTTTTCTGGCTAAGTACCAACGTAAAATTTAGTTTCAGCTGCAGCTGCAACTAAGTCATAACTAGGAAGAAGTATTTTATCAAATTAAGGGAAAACAGGCGAAATATGTAAAAATTAAGTTGGTAGAGGGTGATTTTGATAATATTGAATAATCTCCAATTAAAATTTACAAAGATCGATCCATTTTAATAGGAAGATGAAATTAAATGCGTATTACAATTCGAATTAAGCTACATCACAATTTTATAATTGGAATAATTTAGATAACTTTTCAAATAATAAGTCAGTTTCACGCTAGTTCTTTTAATTTTAAAGTAAATTTGTGCATAACATTTAGATATCTACTATTTGTATGTTTCACAGCTATTTCACAGCATGCTTTCGATAAACATCGACTTCACATCACTGCGGTTGTTCTGGCTATTTCACACAATTAACAAGAAAATGATACCTTATTCTTTTGCATAATCAGTCGTGCCCAAACCCCCGGAAGATTTTGAAACCCATGCGAGAGCGATCTGTTGCTGCCGTACACGATTGGAAGAGCTGCTGTGATGAAGTAGAATCATTAAGTTTGGTAAGTATTGCCTTTTCACATAAGTCGGTGAGCAGTGCAGATTTCATTAAATTTTTCCCCCTTTTTGACACCGGCAGTCCAATTAATTTAATAAAGCGGTCGTACGTGCCAGAAGCAAAAATAAATCATTACCCACTGAAAGGCAGATACCGGGGTATTGGAGGACGTGATTTAAATATTATCGGTGACGTTATTTGCACCATTGAATTTAAAAATGTTATTAATGAAATTAAAGTCTATGGCGCATATTCATAGTCATATTTCGTACTCAACTAAGTCGAAACTATTCTAAGTCACAACTAAAGCTATTCATAG